CCATAACAATTAAGAATCAAAGAATGTTTAGATTTGAAAATTAAAAAGCAAGAATCAAAGAATGCTAATATGGAGTGTAAATTAAAAGGCTAGATATGACCGGTAGCTATGGCTTTCAAAACCATGGGAAAGATACCAACAACAAACTACAAAAAGCCACTCATCGATAAACGTGTCTTAGAAATGATACCAATAGCAAAACCCACCTTACAAGTACTACCCATTACCTCAAAACCATCATTTTATTTTCCCTCACAGTGAATGAAATCCATTAATATATATATATATAAAACACATAGCAACTTGAATTTTTATCCTCTACATATTTTTTTCTTAAAACCATTACATCACTCATTCTATCATATGTTTTAATCATTTAATACTGATTAATTTATAGTTAATATAATTTTTATTTCAAACATTATTCATATACAATAGTATACACATGTTGAAAAAAAATTATATATAATGAGATTGATTTTTTGGTGTGTTCGAATTTTATATTTTATTGTGCCTTCAGACACGGGTTATGACTAGTGAATTAATATAAAATCAAACTTGAGGTAAAACCTAAATGCAAGTCCCAACAAAAAAAAAAAAAAACCCAATAGTCGAAGCAAAGAATCTAAAATTAGTTCTATTTTTGCAAAATCTGAAATAAATTCGTTAAGTAACACAAAATTTGAAATTAGCTCTATTTTCAGAAAATAATTAACCAAAAGTAAAACCAAAAACAATCACTAGAGTGAGCAACGAGAGAAAACAACGAAGAAAGTAGGAGAAGAAGAGATATAGAAGACAGAGAGAGAAGGCAGAGAAGAGAGTAGGCGTTACCTGGTCACTAGTCAACTATCAACAAGAGAGAGAAAGAAGGGAGCGGTGGTCTTCTTGGTAGTGGCTAGGTGGAGGATCGTTAGTCGCTAACGGTAGGAGAAGAGAAGGGGGAGAGGCCTGACTCTAGAAATGTCTGAATTAGGGCTGAGTGCTTATTGGTTAGGAATAAAGGAGTAATATATATATATATATATATTTTATATTTATATATGTATAAAAACTAACGGGTTAGCGGGGTGGAGACGGGGGAATACATTACAGTCCATACTCGCCTTCATACCCGTACGAATATCCCGTCAAGAATCAAAATTTTATTTCGATGAATTGTTTTGGTCACCTAGGAAACGAAAACGTTTCGATATGTTTCAGAAAAGTTTCGATCCGTTTCGAAAACATAATAAAAAAAAAATTTAAAAATTATTTTTTCAAAACATTGATCGAAATATACCAAAATATCTTGAAATATATTAAAACTTTTCGAAATAATTGTGCAAATGCATTAAAATATAAAAAAATATTTTGAAACATTATGAAACACCTCGAAGTATTATAATTTCAATTTGTTTCGGTCTCCTTAGAAATGTAAACGTTTCGGATGTTTCGAAACGATATTTTGATCTTTGATCCCTGTATACGTCCACCGTTCAATACATATGGTCAATTTTCAATCTAAACTAGGTGGAGTTTAGATGAATACTTGTTTTTTTCGGGTTTACTGTCGTCCCTACCTAACAATGTGGATCAACGTTGCTAGAGTCAAATTTGTACTTATCAACCTTCCAAAGGGTAAAATGTTTCCACAATCAGATACTCATTTATAGATTTTTCATTCTTTTCCCCTCATGTGCTGCTCACGCACTTCTCGTTTTGTTATATGGTATTCTTTCTTTCTCTCTCTCTCCGCTGGTTATGATAGGCTGGTATGTGCCTTGTTAGATGCCTTCATTCTTGGAAACAAAGCTTTTGAATTATGCAATGGAGGTGGGTGATTGAGAGGAAACACCGTGGGCACTGTGGGTTTTGGTGGATAGTTTGGTAAGCCCTCCATAATATGCGGGTCTTTTGAAAGAGAAGTAGGAGAGGCTCGTGGGAATTCTTTAGACATTTTGATATTATGTTTGGGAATGGCATGAGGATCAGCTTCTGGCAGGATTGCTGGTATGGGGGCCAGCACCATAAAGAGTCTTTGTCAGAATTCTTTAGGTTGGCAGTTGGTTGGAATGCTATTGTGGCATAGAATGCTAGCTTTTTGACAAGACGGTGCAAAATCCTGGTTATGGGTGATGCCCTTCTATGGTCATCCACTTTGAGGGTCGTAGTAGTAGCAGAAACAGAGTGTCTTGAGAAACTTTTATTCATAAATTAAACCAAGGAAGTGTGTATTTGTCCTTTGACAATTGACATAGCATGAGAACAAAAAATAGGTAACGGATGAAGTCATTGAACTTGTATCACAAGTCATGACTAATTTTTGCTGTAAAATTATTTTATGTTTGTTTGAATGCTGAATAGTTTATTCACTGCAGGCCATAAAGAAGCTGTACTCTCGGTTGCCTTTAGTTCGGATGGACGACAGTTGGCAAGTGGGTCCGGTGGTACCACTGTTCGTTTGTGGGACCTAAATACCCAGACTCCTTTGTTCAAGTGTAAAGGTTAGTTTGAGTTATGATGAAATTCTTAACCTCTTAACTTGTTTTCTAACAGGCAATTTTAGAGAGACAAAAAAAAGGGCGACCCAATGCACAAGGCTTCTGCCACTACTAGGAAAAGAAAATATAACAATTCTTACATGACTCACAAAAACCTCAGAAACAAAATATTATAGGTTGAAGAAGGGAACATGTCTTATGGATACTGGATAGACTTCTTATTAGGCAGGAGGATTAATGACAAGATATCTTATACTTTCCCCTTTTTTCACTTTGGATTTAGTTTTGTTGTATGATTATGAATGGATCAACAAGCCAAGCACTTGTATGGTGCTCGCTGGATTCTTCTGTATTCTACAAAAATATAATTGCTTCCATTTTTCCCCCCTTTTCCTTGGGCAATACTATTAAATATCAAGATGACTATGTTGTGCAAATTCAATGGAAGAATCATCCGTTTTTTCATTGCTTTTGTTGCTCCAAGTAATTGCTTGGCTTGAATATCTTGACATTCTGACCTTTTGGCTTATTATGTACCTAATAACTTCTTGCAGCAAATAAGGTATGCTGGTTATGTAAGCCCTTGCTGCTTTATCTGTCAGCTATTTGGGAGCTAATCCTCTTTGCAAGGAGAAATCTTTGTAAATTTTTTTGGTTCTCGAGGAAAAAGAACATATCCTTGTTTATTTGTGTTTCTTGTGCTTTCATATCTTCCAAATTCCTTGGATGAGTTTTTGTCTATTATTTCGACCAAGTTGGTTGGTGTGCTGTTACCGCTTACTGCATTGTAGCACCCTCTTTAATAGGATAGGACGTGCATGCACTCATACATCTATCAAATATAAGGCAAGTTGCAGGATTTGTTAGCTGAAATGTGTTAACAACTTAAAATTATGTATGCAAAACTATTTTGAGCATTTTTGTTAGGTGATCGGTACCAATCTAGAACTCTTTAGCAATCTCAAGCTATTCGCTGCAGTCAATACCTTTTTTCTTTATGCAAATACACTTTATCAGACTAGTGCTTGCAGCAATTTTTTATATCCGGATTTTTTGAGAACTGCCCTTAAAATGGATTCTATTGTTTGTCAATAAGCATTACTTATATGGTACCTCTGATGCATTGTACCATGTTGAAGGAAAGATTAAGAAGTTTGATACATTCTTGTGGAGTAATGGTAAAAATTGTATTTTCCCTTATTTGCAGGCTATAAGAATTGGGTTCTTTGTATTGCATGGTCAGCAGACGGTAAGCATCTCATTAGTGGAAGTAAGGCTGGAGAACTTCAATGCTGGGACCCACTGACAGGGAAGCCATCAGGAAATCCACTTATTGTAAGATCGTCATATTTGAATGCCTTGCTTCTTTTAGGTTAAATCTTAGTTGCTTGATGAGTAAATACATCTTTTATCAATATTGCAAGCACATGGGATGGAAATTGTATATTGGTCATCGCAGTTGAAGAGTTACTTCATTATTGATTCCGTCTGCTTTCATATGTAGTAACCTTTAACTACTGCTGTGTTTGTCAAACTAAAGCAGAGTGAATGGCTGCCTATGTAAAACCGTGGAGTATCACTTGGAGTTGTTTTTTTTTTGGGTGTTGTGGTAAAGAAGCATAGCTATCTATGAGATCCAACAAAAGCTTTTTCAGTTAGAGCTACATTAAATAAATGTCTTATATCTTCTGGTAGCAATTCCAGTTCCACCAAGGCTTCTGATTGTTTCTCTCCCATGTTGGCTGGTTATCCGCATATTGGTTTCCCTCCTGAAATATGTGCAATATCCGAATGTTATTCCTCTTGACCATTTGGTTGCAGTTCCCTATTAGTGCTTTGCTTGGGTAGTGCAGTTCCAGCTGGTTGGTAAGAGGGTTGACGGCTTTGGCTGAATCTGTTTCAAGTACGACAGTATTGGTTTTTTATTCTTTCCCTGTACCATATCTTGAAATTTACAATGCATAAATTATATTCAACAAATGAATACACAATCTATATAAACAAAAAAAGAAACCACGAGAATACCTCTTAAGTCATCTATCAAATTGGTACTGGATGTCCTTTTCTATCTCTTTGATGTAATCCATGCCAATTTTTTCAACAAATTTGTTTTCTGTGTACACAACAAAAAAGTTTGTGGGAAAACCATTCTTGTCTTATTTTGAAGCCTAGTTTTGATAATATTCATAACCACGAAAACAAAGCTGTACAAAATAGCTATAGTCAAAATAGAAAGCATAGGAACAAATCTAACCAATGTAATAAAAAAGAGTAAACTTTTTTTTTTTTACCAACGAAATATTTTAATGAAATAATTAAAATGGATGACAACCTAATGTTACTATACCAATAGAAGAATATTTTCTAGCATGATTCAGGTAGATGTATGAAAAACTAAAAGCACTTATGGCAAAAATTGTCATGGGGCCAATATAGAAATAGAGATCCTTCTTCAAGTATATATATATTTTTTGAACAAGCTTCTTCAAGTATAGTGATGTACATATATGCCAAGGTTTTCAAAAGTGGAGGTGGAGGGGGAGGGGGTGGCATGACCCTCCTAGGCCCTGTCCTAATTTCGTCAATGACTAAGGGGTTGAGGTCTTTCTTTCTCTAAATTCCTAGTTTCTATCTTTTCATATGTTCCAGGTAGTGGCTATGAAAACTATGCCTCTCCAAGTTCTTTCCTTTCTGTTACTTGGCACTTTTATGCAAACTTTGCCACTCTTGAAAATGAGAATCAAGTGCCTGCTGCTATTAGTGTTTTGTTTTGATCATAGTTACCAGAAATCGCTAAATCTTTGACAACCTACCATCTGGGTACATCAATCTCAAATGGGGTGGATTTGATATTCATATCACCTTAATGTCCAACCCTAAATTGTAATGCCAACCTCAAATTGTTTCTCTTAGATAATGTATCACAAATAAAAAATAAATATTAATTGACTATAAATTGTTTTTGAGTATGTGTTTATGCATGTGTTATTATACATAATTTTATATAGTAGGAAACGGTCTAGGGTTCCAAAATGAATTGCGATCCAAAACACTGTATCAACTAAACTTATTCCCATTGCACTGCATCCCGTACCCCCACTCCAAACCAAATCGACCCATGATCCAAGTAACATTGGTTTTGACATAAATCTAGATATTGAGAGTGAACTGAAAATTGCATCTGGTTGTTAGTGTTTGAATTGATAAAAAACTAATGTGTCAGCAGCGTGGCTCGAAATTATTTTTGAAATGACAAGAATTGAGGCCAGAGGCATGCACCTTGTGTTTTGGTTATCAGCCCCACTGGTATCACAATCAGCCTATTTCCCATGAGCATGACATTGAGTCGGTTCCTAGGTTTTAACTTTTAAGACTGGTTTGGCTTTCGGTACCTGAGGAAAAAGTCTGGTTCACAGCTGTGGTGTAAGAAATCTTAAATCATTTTCTTGGTCACTTCAGTAAAAGTTCTTAAGAATCACCTTGGCTGCTCTCTCTATGTATTGGTCTTTTGGAAATTCACTTATTGAAGTGTCATTTGCGGGTTTGAGTGGTTTTTTTTTTCAATTTATTTTATAATTTGCAAACCAACTGTTCATGAGTTTGGTGTAAGTCATTTTCTTGGTCACTTCAGTAAAAGTTCTTAAGAATCACCTTGGCTGCTCTCTCTATGTATTGGTCTTTTGGAAATTCACTTATTGAAGTGTCATTTGCGGGTTTGAGTGGTTTTTTTTTTCAATTTATTTATAATTTGCAAACCAACTGTTCATGAGTTTGGGTTTGTAAAGATGGTGGTCTTCTACAATTTATATTTTAGCTGAAGAATCAACAAATAAGAAATATGTGTAATATGATCGAATTTAACACCATTTGAACAGTAAAAAGTGCAGGATCAGGGGAAAAAAAAAGAATAATTAAAAGTGTATTGGTGGAAATTTTCTTTATTGTGTTTATCATCAGTCATCTATAATGTTCTTGTGTCTTCTTATGATCCATATATGCCGAGACTAGATAGTTTTTCATAATTAGTTAAGTCAGTGTTCAGATTGGCTACATGCTTCTGTTTGGATATTTTGGACCATTGCTAAATCGTAGGCTGCGTTGTTTTTGATTGGAATGTTTGCAGAGCATTCGTCACTGACAAGTCTGAAAAATATTTCTTCTTAGACCCTAAAAAGTGTTTGTTTTGCCATGACTGGAGCTGAAATGCTGAATAGCAATACTAGCTAAATATGTTCCAACATGTACATAGTTTTGCTTTTCAATTTGCATTTACAATTTAATGTTCTAGGTTCTAATTAGCTAGAGTAAGTACAACTTCACTGCTTGAGGACACCCAAAAGACTCTCATGGGCACTCACTTTAGAATTCACTTATCTTAGGGCCACAAGAAATGGATTACTGGTATATCATGGGAACCAATACATCTCCAGGCTCCATGTTGTCGCTTCGTGAGTTCAAGTAAAGATGGTGATGCGCGTATATGGGACATCTCATTAAGGAAATGTGTTATTTCTCTTACTGGCCACACACTTGCAGTTACTTGTGTGAAATGGGGTGGAGATGGAGTAATATATACAGGGTATGCATTCTTTTTAGTTGCCAGAAGTTTTAATGACCATTCTTGTAAATCCTTGTTTTTATTTGCATTCTAATTGATAAGTACTTACTCTACCCACCAAAAAATTTTACTTGACAAACTGACATATTAAATTAGGCTATTTACATGTCGATATCAGATTCACGAAAGAATATCTTGTTTACAACTAAAATTTTCTTCTTTTAAACATAATCTATCGCATTTCTTTGCTCATTTGATCAATTGTTTGTGATTTTAGTATATTGACAGAAAGAAAATCCTATGGCTACGCATCTCTACCATAAGCTACAAAAAGTACTACCATTGGCTTATTATGACCTAAAAAAGTTATGGCCGCATATCTTTCTTTTCCGTAAAATATCCACGGTGAATTATTGTAGTGGACAAACTGCAGTGTTTTGATCAGTCAATTGTTGGTTACGTTGAAAATCTAGTTGGCTTGCCTTCACAGAATTGTCCCCTAGTGGACTTCTGAAGAAAATTCCTTAGTTTTGTGTTTTGGAAATGTTTTATTTTAGTATCTTTGACCTGATATTCAATGGATTCCTTGGAAGTTGAAATTTTATTCCAGTATTTATTAAGGTTTTGCTTTATCCAAGAGAAAATGTTTATTTACTCGTAAACTTGTTTGTATATTGGCAACCAATGTTAACTAATATTTGGTGGCTTTACTATCAACGCATATATGGTATGCTCTAATTGGATGATGACATCTTCCGTTCACATGCTGCAGATCTCAGGATTGTACAATCAAAGTGTGGGAAACTTCGCAGGGGAAGCTAATTCGTGAATTGAAGGTAAATGAATACATCTTTTGGTAATTTGGTGTTATTGAGTTGCCTTTCTTGCTTGCATAGAATTGCAAGATGCTGCTATGTGTGATCCATGGTCAGTATGACCAGTAGGTTTGTAACGTGGGCTACCATTTAAGAAGTGGACCAGCTTGGGTTAAGCCCTATTTAACTTGCCTGTTTTGAGTGGAAACCAAGTTTTTATTGATTTGATAAAGGGAATACCATGCTTTCAGTTAGCTTTGCAGAATGTGATTAACAAAAAATTGGGAACCACAGAGAATGCATGCAGTTATCAGGATAGCAAAGTCTTTTTAAAGTTTTTCAAAATGCATATCTTGTGAATTTCAGATGACCGTCTTGATTACTCTTGTCTTTTAGTAACATTGTCCTTTTGTGGCGTTTGCTTTTGAGACTCACATTTGATGGTCAAGCCCTCTTACTCTGTCAATGTTATTGATTTTAAACTAAGTGCTTTTGAGTTGTTTTCTGGTGATTAATGTTTTAGATGACTTTTTTTTTTGTGGGTGTAATGTTTTATCCATTCCCGATATTGAGTACCTAATTTCACTTTTAGCTCCTTTATTATAATTACCTGAAGTCTAGACCCCCAAATAACATGCAAAGTTGTGCCTGGTAATTGTGAGAAGTTAAAACTTTTCAAGGCTAATTACTACTAAATCATTTAGTTCTTTTTATAAGAACTTGATTAGCATCAATCAGTTCTGTCGATTCCCTTGGTAAGTTCACTGCATTCCCTTGGCATCTAATAATGGTTGAAAATTCTGTGAAAATGTTATTTGTGCTTTTGGGGGCCTAATGTTGGACCGAATTGTTGAACACTCTAGACATTCTATGTCTGCTTCTATTATGTTGGTGCTTTAACAAATCATTGAATAGTGCCCGATCATCCAACCAAACCGTATATTAGAATGCTAACCAAAGCACACTTGACTGATATAAGTCACGGGCCATGTCAAACCCCTTACTGTTTCTTGCATGCTAATCATCTTTGATGCTTATTTGTTTGACTGGTACTGGGGCACATCTATTATGTTCGAGGTTTCATCAGGTTTCAGTAGTGCAAGAAAATAAATTGGCAAAGTGAAAAATGTTTTTGAGTTGCTGAAGATCCTTTCTTTTTCCACAATGAAGTGGTGGTCCTAAAGAGTTTACTAGTTATTGTGGGAAATGATCCTCTTGCATACTCCAATTATTTTATTAATGGCCCGTCCCCGTTACATATTTTTCGTTTTCATATTCTTATTGAAGGTGATGGTTCTATTCCTAATTGCGTTTCTGTTGAAGGATTTTGGTTCATATACTTTAACTTCTACTCTTGATGCAATTGTTTCTTCCTTAATCTTTAACTTCTTGCTTAACTACTTTCTTTGATTTATTTTTTAAAGGGCCATGGACATTGGGTTAATTCCCTGGCATTGAGTACATAATATGTTCTTCGGACTGGCGCTTTTGATCATACTGGTAAACAATATTCATCTCCAGACGAAATGAAAGAGGTAATTGTTTTTTATCTTTAACATCGGAGAAAACCTGTTATGAAGTTGTATGTTACCAAAATGGACAAATTCAAGTCTCCTTGCAAATCAAAAGTTTTTGCCATAATTTTTATGTTTTTTGAGGTGCATTTACTTTATATGTTTGCGTTTTACTTTTCCTTTTTCTTTTCTGTACAAACAACCTGCCTTCCTTTCACTGTTGAATCAGATTGCTTTGGAGCGGTATAAAAAGATGAAGGGCAATGCTCCTGAAAGATTGGTTTCAGGATTTGATGACTTCACCATGTTTCTTTGGGAACCTGCTGTCAGCAAACATCCCAAAACTCGAATGACAGGTCATCAACAAGTATGAGTGTTTGCTAACACAATTAAAGGCATGAAACTGATTTACTAAGTGATTTTTCAATGAACTGTGCTTAACCTTTTGACAAAAATTAAGTGTGATACATACAACCAGTATCAGTTAGACAATTAGGTTTCACTTAAAAAATGCCAAAATTTTAAGTTGAAGGCACTCACTTATCAGTTAGTGCAGAACACCTCACTGAATATAAATTCTAAAACTTATCTCAAATTGTACTAAACTTCTAATTCTTTTTAATCTTTTAACAGTCTCGGTTCCTCTCAATATGTCTTTCTCTCTTGCATAGCTAAGGTGTCCATGGCCTGGGCAGGCCATCCAGCCCACTCAACCCAGCCTTGTAGATCTAGGGCCCAAGCTAGAGCATAAGCTTATGGGATTGGGGATTGGGGATTGGGCAGTAAGTTCGTCCTGATCAAGTTCTTAATGAGTTTGGGCTGAGGTGAAAAATGGCAGGCTTGACCCTACCCTGCCCTGGTTGATAATATTTTTATAGAAATATATTAGAATTTTGCATGTAACTGGAAGATTTTGTATGTTATTGCTACAATGGACAATCAAATCTTGACATTTGTAAAGAAAAAGAACATGTCACTTTTTTTTTGGTTTAATCATCACAAGGAAAAGAATTTCGTTTCCACCGAGCTAAAGTTCTTAAGTAAAATGAAGTGTTATATGGTGGCCTAGTCCGCTTGGGTCTAAGCCATGACATGTATGCAAGGGCTGCATTTGGGCTGGGCACATCTAGCCTTAGGATGGCTAGGTCGGGTTTGTGCTTGGGCCAGTATGAAGTGTGTAGGTTTCTCAAGTTAATGTGGCCCGGGTTCACTCTAGCCCAGCCTATGGGTACCCATGCTATGAAGAAAGTTAGAGCAAAACATGGCACAAGGTGATAATAGAAGTACTGTTTTTATGTGTATAGTTGGGCGTGTGTGCTGAGATTTCTATGGTATAACTGTAACTATTTGCACAGTATTTGCCTTCCAAGTTCACATTTGAGTCTAGATTTTCTTGCTTTCTTGCAGCTTGTGAACCATGTTTACTTTTCCCCCGATGGGCAATGGAGAGCAAGTGCCTCATTTGACAAGTCAGTCAAGTTATGGAATGGTATCACTGAAAAATTTGTAGCTACGTTCCGGGGTCACGTGGGACCTGTCTACCAGATAAGGTTTACTTTTTACCTCATCAATATGTCCACAAACATCTGCAATAAAGCTAATTATCATGTTTCATGTTGCCATGCATCTGGTCTGCTGATAGTAGGCTACTTTTAAGTGGGAGCAAAGACTCTACTTTGAAGGTATGTGTATTTTCTGCGTTATGGTTTTGTGGTTCCTTCGTTAGTGAATCATGTTGGGTGTAACCCATCCTCTAGAGATATTATGGGTATGATCAGTGGAGGTGTTGGCCTTGTATTTGAGTCATTACAAAAATGTAATTGCATGGAAATGCAAGTGATGTGTTTTTTGAAATTCCCGATCATCGGAAGTGCATTGAGCAAATTTCACGTGCTGGCATTTTGGATTTTGTGTATGTGGATTTATTTATTACATTATTTGGTTAACTAGTGTATACCTGATTGGGAGATGTGGAGTTTTTAGTAGGAGAGTAATGTTAGTGTTGTTAGAAGACTTATTCTATAATTACTGATGTAATCACTATAATTTTGATTAGAGTATGATCTCTAATTGTGTTTCTTGACATAATCATGGCGAGGTTTCGATAATCTTGCTGTCTTCTTTCTTTCATCCCTGCATCACTTTGATATTAGTCTGTAAATCTCCTTTGGTATGATTTTTTCTTTCACTGTAAATTTAAGTACTTTGACGTTAGTCTAATATTTTCCTTCAGAGTTACTGGGTTCAGATGAAATTGTCATTTAACTCTTTAGTAAAAAATTATTCTGTCAAAAATACCTATCGTGGGTTAGTCTAGGTATTCTTTTATGCATCAAACCTCAACCTTGGAGCATCTATTCATAATTTTACTCTCGCTTTGATTTGTTCCTACTGAAGTACATGTCCTTGATTACTAATCTAAAATTTCTTCTATGATGTAGGTTTGGGATATCAGGATGCAGAAGTTGAAACAAGACCTACTTGGCCATGCCGATGAGGTATATTTGCCTTCAAAACACTGACAACCATTTTTCACAGTAAGATGATAAATTTTCTTTTCAATTTTGGAAGGTTTTTACTGTTGACTGGAGTCCATATGGTGAGAAGGCAGCATCTGGTGGTAAGGATAGAGTTTTGAAGTTATGGATGAGATAGAGTACACAAGAGGCAGAAGTTGCTTGGAAATACATGATGGAGATTAATAGTTAAACTTCTGCAGCTTCCATCAGGAGCTAGCATTGTAGATGTTGTAACAGAGATAATTATTAGGAATGTTGAAAAGGATAAATAACTGGGGCTAAGTGATAAGAACATAATATTTAATATTTTAATTCATTTATATTTAGTTTTATGACATATTTTTTGTTTAAGTGAGCTGATTAATATATTTATTGAATTAGGGAAGCATGAAGGTAAAAGAATAGATATGGAATATATTGTGCAATTTTTAACTTTTAGGTCGTGTTGATCTATGGAGCTTCAATTAAGGTTCAGATGGCGTTAGAGTTTCAAAATGAAAAAGTGGTATTCATGAATTTTTTAGAGGACATCTTAAGCTTTTCATAAAGGTATGGTTTACAAAAATTCGAGTTCGTTTGGGCCTCCAAACATTGTTTCAAAGTCAGGCCTGAAAAGTTGATCAGAATCCTGATTGGAGTTGGATTCTTGTCTAACCCAGTAAAATTCAGTGGGTCATAACTTGAGTTTTCAAAGTCCAAATCAGGTGATTCAAAAGTCAAAACTTATCCACACATCTAGGGATACAACTTTTATCAAGAGCTCAAATCAATATTCAATCGTTATTTGATAGAATAATAACTTACAAGTTCCAGCACGATTTTGCGATTTCTGTCAATCTGTTTTGATAAGGAATACCTATAATGTAGGGATTTGAGTTGTACACGTCTTGGAAAGTGTCATATGTTTTCTATATGTATCTAAGGTTTCCTGGAAGGAGTAGCTTATGAGTTCTATTGTGAATAACTAGCTTAAGTGTTCTAATGTTCTGATGAGAACAAGATGTCTTCGTGACGGATTATAATATTATGGTTTAGTTGTCTGTGTGACAAGCAGAAAGAAATATCAAATGGTTTGAGACGATAAAGCATTGAATGACGAAAACTAATTGTTAGACTGAGTTGTCTAAATGACTAAAAGTAACTTAAGTGTTCAAGTTTGTCTTTGTGACTAATATAAGTTAAAATTGATTTCGTCTAAGTGACGGAAACTGAATTTATTGATGTGATATGAGTTGTTCAAAAAAAAAAAAAATAAAGGGATACATGTTATTGAGTTGTCTGAGTGACGATCGTATACCGATATGGTGATAAACTTGTGTGGTGTTTCATCACCTAGGTAGCTAGACGATTATCTCTGTGTGAAACCATAGTGCAATGAAATAGAATATCGAGAAAATTATATATGTTGTTGAGTTGTCTGAGTGATGATCGTATACCGATATGGTGATAAACTTGTGTGGTATTTTGTCGTCTGGGTGGCGAGACGGTTATCTCTGTGTTAAACCGTAGCAAAATGAAATTGAATATCAAGAAAAGTTATGGAATCACAAATATTAAAATTTTATAAATGAGCAAGGATATCATATTATTTTCTTTGCTCTATCTCTTAAATCATTAATAAGAAATCATTGAAAATTTCCTTGAAATCTTTTCAAGTAAACTGCACACAAGCTTGCAGTTCACTATTGCACCTAGAAGTCCAGTCAAAAATGTTGGGAAGGGCTTGTGTCACTGTCTTGTTTCTTGTTTTTTTTTTTAAAAAAAACTTTTGGGTTGTACTTGACGTCAATATTTTTTTATTTTTTTTTTTGCATGTAAGTAACACTTATAAATATTTTTGGGATATGTAAATACTACATGATAACGGGTTTGTGTGCCGCTCACATATGACTTATGGTCCTAATATAAATATTTTCAGGATGTGTTTTCTTTAAATATAATGTTATAATGTTTTATTAATAGCGGGATTGGCTAAATTTTATTTTTATAATAATAGTGTAATGGAATTGGGGTGTTACATGAGAGGTTTATGAAATTAAATCCTCCAACATTTGCAGGAACAATTAACCATCTAGAAGTAGAGGATTGGCTGAAACAGATGTATTCAATATTTGAAGTAATGGGTATTACTGATGACCAGCGGGTTATACTTGCCACCTTCATGCTGAAAGACGAAGCACGGTTTTGGTGGGAGGCTACTAGGTGATTGTTGACTATACCAGTTATCGTTGATGTTGGTCAGGTGCCAAGAGGGGTTACTTAAGATTAGTTTGTGAGGAAGTTCAATGCGAAGTATATTCTTGAATCTTATCAAAAAAAAATCAGTGTCTGAGTATGAAAAGCGATTCACTACGTTGTCTCAATTTGCTACAACTTTTGTCTAAACTGATAAAGAAAGGTGCAACAAGTTTCAGTGGGGGTTAGATTATCCTATTCGAACTCGTATTGCAACTTTTGAAGTGATGAGTTATGTTGCTCTAGTGAATAAAACTTTGGCTATGAAAAAAGATTTACGGGAGTCAACGAATTGACGTGAATAGTTCAAGAAGGGAAGGCTTGATACAACACTGGGTATGAGATCTCAGTTTGTCGGGCAGACATCAGGGTCTAAAAAGCAGGGACCCAAATCTTCTCAGGCTTGAAGTACAGGGTATGGTCAAGCATTTACTAGTTCACGGTGTCAGGGATTTTCTGAATTTCTATCTAGACAGTAGAGTAGAGTTCCAGTTAGCAGTCGAGCAAAAAAAATGGTATGTTATAAGTGTGGACTTGATGGGCGTATAGGTAGAGATTGTGGGTTGATGTCGTTGGGTAAGAGTCAATGGTGCTACAAATGTGGGTAGGTAGGGCATGTATTGCGAGACTGCTTGAGTGGGTCTGCGGGGTCATCTTCTGTTGGCAGTGTAACTCCTGGTGGAAGGGGTTCACAAGGGAGTGAAAAGAGAAGAGGAAGGGGGTCTGCTGGTACCTCTATATCTTAAGGATGAGTATTTTTAATGAGGCAACAGGATGCACGTGCCTCTCCTAATGTAGTGACAAGTACGATTTCTATATTTGTAAGAGATGTACGCATTCTTATTGACCCTGGTTTTAATTATTCCTTTGTTGCATATACATTTAGCATGCATTAGGACCGACCTTTACATTCCTGGACCATTGCTCGTCTATCTCCACCCCAGTGGGTGAAGTGGTGTTCGTAGATACTATTTATAGGAAAACATGGGTGCTCAAGAATTACTAGTAGACTTGATTCCCCTTGATATATGGGATTTTGATGTGATATTGGGAATGGACTAATTATCATCTTAAGATGCATCTATAGATTGCTCGTCTATCTCCACCCCAGTTGGTTTTCAGATACCAAGTGAACCTGAATTCAGGTTTCAGGGGGATCAGAAGGTGACTCCAAATTGTTTGATCTCTGCAAGTAAAGCTTGAAAATTACTTAGGAAAAGGTTGTCAAGGGTATTTGGCATATGTAAGGGATACTAGTCAAGATGAAATAAAGTTATCCGAGTTGCTAGTGGTTTGTGAATTTCCAGATGTGTTTCCAGATGAAGATTATTTTGTTGTATAAGGTGATGCGGGGCAAGGATGGATGTGGCATTATTTATGTAGGGGTATAATCAGGGATTATATTTTGGAGAGCAAACCCATGGGAAATATGTTGTTTGCCAATATGATTATGCATTTTCGTGTGGATGCGAGGGTAAAGAAATTTGTGAGGGATCATTTGACTCCTCCTGAGAAGTGGCTCATTAGTAGCTGGTCAGAGAGTAAGAGTGATACCATGTCCAAAGCTACTGGAGATAGGCATACTCTTGCTACTTCTTGACCTACTGGATCTACCACTGCACCTACTGATACTAGTTTCATTCCTGTTTGTATGTTTTGGTTATAAATCAAATAAATATTATATGTAATCATTGAATCTTGTTTTCCTTGCCAGTTATGTAATGTTTTTGAGTGAGGTATATGTTTATATTCATGAAACTATCGTTTTGTTATCAAAACCCTAGACCTCCAGGAACATAGGTTTTAAACATGATGTTTTCTTGTTCTTGTCTTAAAAACCCTAGTAGTTTGTTTTGAACAATAAAATTATGTTTCTCGATAATCTCTTGCATGTTCTTGAATTGTTCTTTTAAAAAACACTAGTGAAATTATAGTTCTTGAATTACATGTGCTTTGGTGAATTGGTTTGGAATACAATTATCTCTTGTTTGGGTGATTTGATAAACAATGGTGACCGTTGACCAGATATTGTAACGTGAATAGATATGTTTCTTATCCCGAGGAGTTGAAAGATTTTCTATCATTCATTGTGGAGTTGGTGTCTTGTGATGACCAAACCATTATTTGCTCACAACAATCGAGGTTAGAGGCTAGTATACTATTCTTATGTTGGATTCATCACTGCCGATGCGTCAGTATATGCCCTTTCTAAAATTGTGTATCCTTATGAGGATTTGGTGTATGTGAGTGTGGGTTAAGATATTCTCAGTATGTGTATTCATACTAAGTCTACCTGTATATCAAAGATAAATTGTTTGAAATTGGTTTATGGACTGAAAGTTGGTTTTATTTTTGTATTTATTTCATTATTTTACACATAAAGTTGAGATCTGATAAATTGTCTCTATTTTACTTCAAAAGTATATATGATATTTTGTAATACTTGAGACCAAACCGTTTTGTCCCGTTTTGAAACTTGGTTTGTTTTGGGGAGGATTTTTTTACAGAGCTTAGTGCTCACCCCCTAATATTAACATTTTACAGATTATGATCTAGAGGAGTAATTCAGATTGGATGAGCATGTAAATTGGAAAGCCCAGATAGATGGGGATGTGGGTTCCAAGGTGGATGTTTAGGGCTATTTTCTTTATAGTCTAATTTGAAAGTTGATTTTGAGACAATGTTAAGGAGCATATTTTATTTATTCCACTGACGAGATACTATTTGGTTTTGGGATGTAATTGAAGGTTTTTAATTACATATTGTTGGCATTGTTTTGGCTATTTAAATATTCTTTAGATAGTTTGTTTTGGGAACGATATTACTTCAGTTTTGAATGTAGTTTCAAATATTGTGTGTATATTAGTTTTGGGCTATGCTTCGATTATTATAGATAATGAA